GATAACGCCATACAAACTGGTCTACGGAAGGGCCCTGGCGATGACGCTCGATGCCGTGTTACTCAATGTCACCGACGAAGAAAACCTTGATCTTAGCGAGTACTTTCAGCGCACCGAAGAGGTCTGACAACTCGCCCACCTCCGCATCAAGAACCACCAGATGACGCATAGCCTCCGTTAAAATATTACACGATGCTTCGTGGAATACCAGCCCGGTGAAAGAGTTTAGGTACGCGGCTACGTGGACTCAGTGAAAACTTCAGTGACGGTATTTTGGACCATACAGGGTAATTCGACGTCTCGGCCCACTCGATTACGATGTCTTCCCCGACGGCATCACGAAATACATTGTAACAATACCGATTGTTGGCCTAGTTGATATTTGCTTACTGACATGCTATGGCCGCAAACTAACACACACTAAGTAAAGAAACACTAAACGACAAGCACAAGCGGCCGACTCTCAGCAATGGCGATCGAGTCGGAGACCTGAAGTCGTCCATGTCGCGTGCCTCAAATTTTTTCATACGTGTTGATTTACTGAAACCGTGTATTTTGTTGTTGTTATTGCTGTATCGTAATTTATTACTTGTACTTTATTGAATTATTTTTCTACTTTCATCTTTATACGAACGGTTCAAACACTATTAAACAATTTGCCATTACCAGTTCACTCAATTCTCGATGGTGTTGCTGTGCAGTGGATGCGCACACCAACACGACGTCAAAACCATGCACATAACTCCCTACAGTCTAATCTGCGTCTCTATTACTAGTAATATACACGCCGTTTTGAAAATTGTCCCCGAAGTACGCACCCGATGTGGCAAAAAAGGAACAGTTGCCTTCTTCATTCTTAGTGGACCTGTGGCGATAAGGGGAGTTACACAGTGTAGTGGCTCATACCAGTTTATGATGTACCGCGACATGACACCAGGATGAGGAGAGAACAAAAAAATGACAGCATATCCACGGAGTCAATGATCATGAGAGGGGCGAAGCTTCAAAAGGTTTTATCCGCAAATCTTGGATCATCTGCTGGCCACGTCCATCTGTCCGTCTGTGTGTCTCTCCGTCTCTCTGTATGTACGTATGTATGTATCTACGTATGTATATCCGCACTCTTTCTATGTCTGTCTGTCTGTCTATGGCCTCTGAGAGGGCGGGCGTGCTGTGTGTTTCTCTCCAGCCGTTCCAATCGCCGCGCTCCCCAGCGAAAACAACGAGTATCTCCTTGTGCACCCGGGTACCACGAGAGGGCGCATTGAGCGAGGATACCGGTGGCAGCTGAGGTAATGGCATGCAGCAGAGCGCACGGGATTCCAGCGTGCGCATGGTTTTTTCAGCCTACGAGTAAGAATCACCGCCAAGATCATCCGGCTGAACTGAAGCAAAGTATTTTTTCTCTTACCGCATTTGTTTTTGTCCAATTGGTGAGGAAAAGCATGGCAACACCTGCATTTTTATATGTAATTGTTAGAGGTTATCAGTTTATCTGTTGCAGTATTAGTTTTTTTTCACTGTTATCAATTCGTTTTCTCTCGGTGCTAAATACCTCAATTTGAGAAATATGCAGATATTCCAGCATTCCTTCTTTTTTCTGGAAACCCGTATGGGGTAAAAGTGGACTAATTATCGTCGTTGAATCGTGTAGCTCTCCCATCTAGACTCTTATATTGGCTAATATGTCATACCTATAGTTTTGTAGTTGAACTAAAGCGCAGTTACGCTCTAAATAACTAGGGTGCCCTGATCATGTGATTGAAATAAAGTGCGTGTGAAGCAATTTTGCCTAAATATTGTTTTTGGATTCGATTAGCAGTCCTACATTTACTCCCCACGTCTTTTACTCTTAAGGTGCCCGAGTTTTCATCGTGTCCTCTTTCGTCATCTGAATATCAGTGTCGTGTTCACTCACTGTACTCTCAACTGCATCCAAATCAAGGGGTTGCGCATGAAGCGTAACGCTGTCTTTCTAGTGAAAACTAAATATTCGCCGAGGTAGGTTACTGAAAAAGTGCAAATTCTCACTTTTATGCAATACCATCATCATTCAAACTAGGCGCATCAAACTCTGAATGCATGTTGCATACTTACTGAACGAGCAAAACATTTCAATGTTTGTTCTTACATTGCGCAGCCTATACACTGAAGACCGTGAAATTCACAGTGCGATTGGGCGCATGTGACCAAAACGTGCCTGTAACCAGCTCATGGTCGTCGCACAAGCGGCGATGTTCAGTCTAGACATTGTCTAGACGCATGGTTACTGCCTGCACTTTCCTCCCTGTATCCTGCTTCTGCGGCTCGACGGGAAGGTTCTTGAAATAACGTTACAATTAAAAAGAGTGCTAGTTTCATGAAATCAAAGAAAAAGCAATCCTTTATAATTTATTCAGGGGCTATACTTTAATAGAGTGTGCCTTGTGAGCGTAGAACGTGGCACTCCTCTGACTTCGCTTGTTGCTCGGGTTGTCTTTTTTCATGAGGGCTCTCCACACTATACAGCCTGCAAGCTTCTAAGCACAGTAAGTGTCCTGCCCATGATGATCTTTTGCAGAGGCATCTGAAATATAAGGGCTATGGGGGGGGGGGGGCACAAATCAATAGCAAAAAAAGCCTGTTTGAAAATATATGCTCCCAACCATTCGCTTTTTCTCTCGCGCGCCTTGACCCGACACTCCCAATTGAGTGCAGAGTTATATAAAAGCGTAAAGCCATTTTTTTGCTTGCCGTATGCAAGCTTCGTCAAAAGTGCGGCAGCCTTTTCGACCTTATGAAGCAGCGCCGCGTTGCTGAGAATAGAGTGGGCCAAGCCCACCTCTGAAAAGACGCTCCCTCAAAGCCAGAGAAAAACTTACTGCATGCTTGCCATTTCGGAGGGCATGGTCTGTAAATCTGTGTCTGCCTTTATGTATGTATGTATGTACGTATGTACGTACGTATGTATGTATGTAGGTATGTACGTACGTATGTACGTATGTATGCATGTATGCATGTATGCATGTATGCATGCATGCATGTATGCATGTATGTATGTATGCATGTATGTATGCATGTATGTACGTATGTATCCACCAGACCGTCCGAGCAATCGTTCATCTATCCGAATGTCAGTCTGTTTGTCCATCTGTCCATCCAACTAGTGAAACACTCCAAGTACCTACATCTCGCATCTTTTAATCATATATTCATTATATACAAGTACCACCATCCAGCGGACATTTTAAGGACTAAAACGAGAGATGGCTACTACATACAGAAGACGCACGACCCACGCTTTAATGAGCTTCGCCCCTAAAAATAGCACTTTTCCCCGAATAAGTACAGCCTGATTCACAGTCTGAAACACACAGAACACAAGAGAAACGAGAGATCAGACTCCTTTGCTAGGGGGCACATGAACTTAGCAAAGTCTTGTCCGCACTCTCAGTCCCTTCAGACATTTCAGGCGGAATGAAACGTGGAAGGCTACGACGCATGCAGAACAGCTCCTTCAAAATTCTTACTCGAGGCAGACGACAAAAAAATGCGACCTCATACTTTAGAAGGATGCCAGAGACTTTCGTAGGACATAAAGAGTGTTCTTTTTCAAAGTTGCAGAAATAAATTGCTATTTAGACTCGCCTTTCGGTGTTTCAGTGGCTTCCCCTCGCTTAATCACATCTCGGAGCCAAATCTTAACACCTTTATTTTCCTGTTCCGCATAAGCTGATAACGAGCAATGGTAAACACGGCTCGCCAGTCAAGACCCAGAAATGCAGCTAGCGCGTTTAGATACCGTCAGGCAGGTGGCAGCGTAGTCTTCTTTGTGGCTTGTTCATAATGCTGTCGACGCTATAGTGCTCCTTCACGGGCAGATGTTGCTATGACATCAGTCCTTCTGCCAAATACCAGACACGCATGGCGTCACATTCATTGATGTCGCTTCAGTTTAATGTTATCAATATTTAAAAAGTGAACAATATAGGCTCCTCTTCGATTTTACCATACAAGCCTTAAAAAAATACGACCCACACCCTGCCGCGGTGGTCTAGTGGCTAAAGCACTCGACTGCTGACCCGCATGTCGCAGGATCTAATTCCGACTGCAGCGGCTGCGTTTTCGATGGAGGTGACAATGCTCTATGACATCGCTGCGGTTACAATGTTGAAAATGCTGGCCCGGGTGTTCATATTTGGGGCTTGTTAAAGAACCCCACGTGGTCAAACTTTCCGGGGCCCTTTACTACGGCGCCTCTACTAATCATATGGTGGTTTGGTACGTTAAACCCCACACATCAATCAAGATATGGCTCGCTGATGCATGCAGCCAAGGGGCACCCTTGCCTGCGACACTAGACAAATGAAACAACGCTCAAGGTGGCAAAGGTTGAAGACGCGGCCGCGACATGGTCTCTTGTGCCGTCGTAAGCAGTGTTATGCTTTATCAGCTATGTTCCAACCAGTCCAATCAAGCAAACTGTGCATCATAGTGACAATAATAACCGCACAACACTTTAAGCCCTCCGTTTGCTGTCGTGGCTTGGCGTAACGAAGGCTGAAGAGAAAAAAAAATTGAGAAAGCAAGAATAAAACGGAAAAGGCAAGGAATAGTAATAAAAATAGGAAGGGCAAGAAAGAGAACGAGAGAAATAATTGAAAATACAGAGAACAAAATGAAACACAAAGAGATAGAGCCAAAGAAAACGGAACAAAGAAGGGTACCTACTTCCCTCAGTTTTGGGAGCGCCAAGTAGCTTTTTGTTTTGCCTTGTGAGAGCCAGTTCATGACGATAGTGGCCCTCACTCACAGTGGTTAGCTTGCCGCAGTTACCATCTTTTTTCAGGTCCCCCAGTGTGGTCGACGTGAACAATGTGCGTTTCACTTATGACGGCCGTCGAAAGAGTAGCATCCACATTATAGTCCCTGTTCCTCAAACCACACTGTGATGCCTTCATGTAAGAAAAAAACGGGTTTGCAAATATACATCGTCAGTTCAGTGTAGAGGCTCTCCAATGTCAAACAGGCATTCAGTGAGCTTTATTTTCTTTATTGCGTGCACTACTAAAAAGCTATTAACGTAAGATATAAACCTAAATCCTTGTATGCTCATAAAAGGTAGTTAAAATTAGTTAATAAAGCCTAGCACTACCTGCATAAATTATAAAACGCAGGTAGCTCGGTATAGGGCTAGACGAGGTTGGCATCCTTGGCGAGCTGGTAAAACACTGATGTCTCCTGCTTCAGAAGGTCCCGCGGTGCATCGAACTCCACAATTTGCCCACGGTCCAGCACCATGATTCTGCAAGAAGGAAAAAAATTGCACGCGTGCACGGAACGCCAAAGCTTTCACAATATGCCATTTCAATTAACCTACTTACAATTACGCTGATGGCCATTGTGGCTACAAAAGCGATATACAGAACACCATCTTTACCACCGAAGACACATAGAATTTTGCGTCTAGATAGTACTGCTCAAATAATCCTGAACCCTTTTAGGGGAAATACCCCGACTTCTTTCATTTTTCTGCGAGCAGGAACTCGTTCTTAACAAAACATGCTGCACTCTGAAAGAAGTCGGTTCTGGGTGCCTTTCCGTCCCCCGGTAACTCATATGGCATGCCTTTTCTGCATATAGAATACCTGCCAAAAATTCTGTTGGTGATGATGAAAAACAAAACGCAACTTGCATGAAGGCTCTGAAGAAGAAAAAAAAACCATGAGACGAAGTGTTTTCTTCGAGCCATTGACCGAGTTGCTTTTCCCGTCAAGCTTTTTCTACCGGCTACTTCCACGCTACCGAGGGCGTCACACCAAATACCAAAGCAGCATGAGCAGTTTCCAAGAAAGCCAGGCACGGAATAGAACGCGCCAGACGCCGCCAATTTGCTCCAGCCTGTATGTCACGACCAGTCACGTCATGCTGAAGCTGGTCCCGATAGCGTGCCTATAGGGAGATGAAGCTGCTGCTACCCAAAGACAACTCAAAATGATAGTGACAAAACTAGTTGATCCGTAAGTGAGACGCGCACCTGCCCCTTCGCTGCCCTCGGGATGTCATGTAATGTGAAGTCGCTCATTACAGACAAAATGCCATATCTGCAAAGGCGTGGAACGTGATTTACGGCGCATCAAAATGGCAGCATATGCAACATTACGGTGTTTCTTTCTCTACAATCACTTTCATCAGAACTACGAAGCAATGCAACGTCGAGCGTAGTAAGCAGACTCTTTTAGCATCCGACTTCTCTTCAGACGTGCTTGCGCATGGTGTGATGTTTCTATGGCCGTGGCTCCTTTGTTAACGCATGAATTGCCATTTTGTACGCTTTAGTACCTGACGTCATCAAATGTGGAGCATGAGGTCACCGAAAGTGTACAGCAGCCTAACGTCACGCAAATCTTGGTGTCAGCTGGCAAGCCATGCGAAAATGAAATGAAGTAAAACTTGAGCGCTTATCTATTTAAGCTTAAATTTTGTCAGGGCCGTCCCTGTATGCAGAAGTTTTTTTTTATGGAGGAGTCAAACCAGTGCCGAAACGTGGTCGAAATATTTCTTTAGGCTTTGTAAGCCACACAGAATGCTTGACTTTGATTCCAGCTGGGACCCAGACATTTATTCTTTGCGTTCATCGGGTCGATGCTACCGATGTCAGGTATTTCTTAACGCTCGGGCGTTAAAAAATGCCCATGTGTGCTCTCGTCGTTCTTGGGCAGATTATAAGTGTCAATCGCCTGTAGAATATACCCACATACTAGCGGCCCATAACCGCCAGTGAGTATGCGGCACTGCCTGGCGGGAAGTGTTTGACGACGTGCGCGATGAGATTGTGACAATTCAACAAAGTTGACGAAAGCGACGGAAGCAGTGGCTATCGTACTCGTGCACTTTGCCTCACTTCCCAGTCCCAGCAGCTGCACTTCGACGGCAACGAAATGCATAAAATGTCCGTGTTGGTGGGAAGGCAATTCAAAAACACTGGTGGCTAAAACCATATTAAAGCTATACTCATTACAGTGAGCCAAATATTATATCATAGGTTTGCCATGTAAGCCACAATAGATTCACTTCAAGTGCTCCTGCATGCCTTTCCAAACGCAGCAAGTCGAGCGTCAATTATATTCTGCTTCGCTGCAGGATTCACAAGAATGTCAATTAGTACAATTCCCAATCTCCAGCGAGGCGCCAAATAAAATGTGCCACAGCAGCATTTTTATTTATTTCATGCAATAACATTAAAGAGCACGTTTCGAGGAAATCCGGGCGTCAGTGGTTCTGAGCAAAAAGTATTCTGGTGCGTGGCCTAAATAAAAAGGAAATGCAAATAAAATAACTAAAAAAATAGCAGGGTCCGAGTGAGTAACAAGCTCCAGCTGTTTGCGTGTCAAGCAGGTGCTCCGCCACAGAGGCCCGCGTTTTTTGCAGCAAAAACTTGTGAGATCAAAACTCGATCGGGTCATGCGTGACGCCGTAGTTTTCCGCCACTGCCGCCACTGGTTTCCGTAACCACCATGACAGAAATAAGAAAAAAAACCTAGTACCAAAGACACAGTGGGGCTTAAACACGGGTCCGCTGCATGGCAGCCCAGTGTTCTATCGATGTGCCACGCCAGTGCTTGGGACTTGTTCGCAACCTTGCCCTAGGCAGGCTTGATGTCGGGAAAGGAATCGTGTTAATAGGAGTAATAGTGTTTTAGAACAGCAAAAGAGCAACCGGGCATCACACAATTTGAATAGCGGAACAAGTGGGCCGTAAAATGCTCCAACCCATTACAAAAGCTTGTTTTTGTTCTGCTATTAACTGTGGCGCATACCCACTTCAGGCATAATTCCTCATCGCCGTCAGCCTCTGAATGAACAATTAGCACGAAATTCCTCTAAATAGTTTAGCGGACCCCGCGCTTCTCAGAAGAATGACGAAGAATAGAAAGGCAAGTGCCGCATAGTACTCAGAAGATACTAATATTATCGTCGTAGTAGGCACCCAGCAAGTGTGCTTGCAGCAGTTACCCGATGAGTGTTTAGGAGACTGAAGGGCTGCTCTTCTCGTTTTTACTGTGACTCCGCTGAGCCTTCCGCGCAGACCTGGCGTTTTTCTCTCTTTCTTGCCTCTCATGTCAAGACTTTACATACTCGACAAAATGCAAATAAATAGGAGCGCAACCACAAATTGCAATGAAAAACAGACATCTGGCACCTTCAGCACTTCAAGAAAATGGCGCATAGACTCGGGAAAATATGCTCGCACAGATCGCACTTCTACATCTCCATTTTCAAAGGCATTTCGGGTTTGCCAAATACAATGCAAGCCAGGCCTATAGTAGTACAATTAGATTATAAGGTACGCTGGCTTCGTTCTCAAGAGAAAGAAAACTGGTGCAATGTGGCCTTAACGGTCATTCTTTTTTTAAGGTTCTCTGCAACATGTTCCCGAGTAAAGACCCCGCTCCAGGAACCCGCAAATACTTGTTGAATTGTTTACAGCTTATTGGCATAACTAACAGTATGTGCCCCATGGGAGGAATATTACGTTTTGTGCAAGGACCGATACACGGAAGCTGTTTCATTTTTTCACTGCCGTTAAGGGAGATTTTCGTTAAAGTGCCTGCCTGAAGTCTCACATAAAAATGGTTTAAACACCTCTTAGATATTTCTACTGCCTGCGCCATCGTACCACCAACTATACTGTGCAGGCCCAGGGCAGGATGTTCTTCAACAGTGTTTTAGAAGAATACTTGCAGAGCCAGGGGTCCAAACTTTTTCAAGTTATACACTGGTACTTCAACAGAGCCGCGTGAATGGTTGCAAATACAGTTGAAATACCTTCCGTTGCTTGTAAATGCTGTGAAAGTACAGTTTATACTTCACAACAGACGCATCCTGTATACAAGCTTCACATTACAGCATGTCATATCACAGCAATATTTCATGGTGCAAGCGTATATTAGCATCGAGTGACAGAACATGTGATTATCTTAATGACCTATATGGGGGCAGGCAGCATAAAAGATATCAAGAGCAAATATAGCCTAGAACATATTTAAAAGTTAATTTTAAGTGCATTCCGCATGTCTGAGTAATATGTGGGGCTCCTCGTGACGCTGACATCAACGCAGAGGCAATGTAAACAAGCCAACGTCACGAGCTTACGCCCTGCGCTTGCGTAACCTACAATTTCCTCCTCCGTGCCTGCGGCTTCGCATGCGTTGGCTGCGCTAATTTTCAGTATGGCGCCCGCTCGCGCGAGGCTCTCACGTCACAGTTTTGCAGTGGTCACGTGGCCAGCAGTGTTTATCGGGCCCCTACAACTGCTGCAGCCAAGTTCGGTGCTGTTTGCATCCGAACTTGCAAATCCAAAAACGTGTCTCATTAGTATCCGTCACGCACTCGCGCAAGTGAGGTTCCCAGCCACCATACGTAAGTCATAAACTACTTATTGCAACAACAAAAACCAGGTGCTAAATATTCGTGTGGGTGCTCCTTTAATGCCGCATAGTAGGTAGCAACTTCAAAAACGTTTCACGTTCATGATTGCTCATAAGCCTAAAGTGTTCTACTGAGAACACCGAATACAGTCACTGACGGAAGCCACTTCAAACTCTATTGATTACATTGTAGTAATGCCCAATGGAAACTTCTCGAGTAATATTATACAATAAGAGGTATGGACTTAGTGGTTTAATTACAGACAGGATACCGTTATTGTGTTTTGCTCTTAAAGCATAAACGTCACCCAACTTTTTAATTAGGAGTCTATATAGCTTGTTTCTTTCTCTGCAAACGTGAGCGGTTATGACTGAAAAGACAGGTGCTGTCGGAAATTGTTATTTATGTGAACAAAATAGGAGCTCTTTGATCATTTTCTGGGCAAACACGTTCCGCACTTGGCCGTTAGCCAGATGGCTTCATGTTTCAGAAGCGGATATAACGATGCACCTAAAGAATGGAAATTCTTTGTTCCACGCCAGCCCGAAATTATTTCATAAACAGTGGCTTCTTAATCAGCTTAGTCGAGGGCGTCCAATCAGTATCACCGGATATGCTGCCAGTCTGGGCACGAGGACATACCGTGGCACCTCGATGTGGAAGTGACCTTCAAAGACAGATTGCACTACCAGACTACTCCTTCCCTGCCCGGTGCCGCTTTCGCATCTCCGTTTATTTATACGTGTTGTATAGTTCGACGAACCCGGTAAAATACTCGTGTGGCTTCGTCACCGACTGTATGAAAGGCTAATTAACTGTTTCGAAAGACTTAAGCTCTCGATAGCCTCAGACAGCGCTTAATCTGGCGGCCTCGCCTGCTACAAGAACAAGGTGTTCTGCGTTGGATTCAAGGATCAAGTGCACTTTAGCCCGTGCTTGCGGCAAAGGAAAATTTTCGCTGCAAAGGAGGCGTGCAACTAGAGGCATTGGAAGAAATTTTCGGCGGAGGGGGAGCACCTTCTCGATAATAAGAGTGGCCAGAAATTGTCATTTTGCGCTATGTATGCCATGGCGAAAAAGACATTCAAGAGGGAAAGCATGAGCCCCATGTGTCCCCCGTCTCCTGAACGGCGTGCAACTTTATGTACTGTAGCTTTGCAGCTATAACGAGAAGCAACATTCTTCTTTAGCAGGCACCTCTATGAAGCACGACGCAAGCGAATTCTCCGCTTTGACGGAAGCAGCCCAGCATGCCTAGAAAGCAGAACATCATTTGTATTATTGGACGCAAGCACAAGGTAGCCACACGCAAGCGCTCGTGCCTCATTCAGAGTTGTTCCAAGATAGTGTTTTACACGAGCACAAGTTTCTACGTGATCGAAATACTTATCTGCTGCTCTATTGAGAATCATTTTTCCGGTGGTTTTCACACAGCGCACTTTCAATGACCATCGAGGCACATTAGGATGAAAATTTTCAGCGACTGACTCAATTCTGCAGCCTATACAAAGAGGCCAATCATGATCTCACGCAACATTCGTTCTTGGTAGCGAAAAAAAATGCATCCCGTACCTGCCCTTTTACTTCGAGCACTTGAATGAGCATGCTGCAAGCTGCTCATTCAAGTGCTTGAATTCAAGTGCCATGATCTAAGTGACAATTGCTTTTATGTTTCACTGAAAATACCAGCGTTCGGTATTTACCCCTCATCGATGAGCAGTATGACACTTCAAGGCCGCTGTTAGAAGGTAAATCAAGTGTTTGAAGCCGGAAACTTTATCTTAGCACAACATAGAGCAGAACAAGTGAAGAACAAGAATATTTTGTACGCCAGAAATCCCTTGAGCTGAACTTGAGAGTCGGACTGGTGAACCCGTGTGGCAGGGAAAAACACATGAGGACATTCAACTCAAATGTACACCCGGAGAAGGTGGCATAAGGTGTGTGAAACGCCATCGAAGTTACTTACAAGAGACAGGTAGCTTTCAGAAAAGACTCTAGAAGCGTGGTGCATGGAAGGTTTCATCAAATGCACTAGCCGAATACGTACAAGCAGCTGGCCTCGGATAGAGGCAAAGACTGGGATAGGCAATAGACTTGAAAAGGCAAAGATAACCAAAGAGAAAAGAACTAGACTTGACGACTTCATCTTCATTCTTTGACAACCTAGACAGCTTCGCACATGCGCACACATGTTAATAGGTCACATTTTAAGACATGCGTAACCAGACAGTTTTGCTCATTCATTTGCGGTTGTGGACAAGAGCCGAAACATCCTGCTTTTATGTAAACATTCGTGAACATTTAAAGAGGTATACTGTTTGCAAGTTTAGTAAAGAAAGTTTTTCTGGCTGCATCCTGCGTATGCTTTCTTCTCTCCGTCATCCCGGCGACTTCTGGATTCTGGACATTTTTGACTGAGGGAGAACGTATTGACAGTTTTCTGTTTACGTGCGTGGCGATACGAAACCAAACAATCGTTTCAGTCACGCACACGGATGCTGCATCCATTGTTGCTTTCATAAAGGAACGTTCCTGAAAAGCTTTGTCGAAGTAGCAAACAGGGTCCTATCGACCGGAAGCAACAAAACGCAAAGCGATGATCACACACGCTACAACTCTATGCGTAATCTTGCTTGTAGCAAATGGTGCAGAAAGGACAATGAAGTCGACGAACACAAGCACTAAACTTCAACAACGCCGTTCACTCAAACAACAATGTAGAGACTGAACTTTCAACCACGTTGACGATAGTTAGCGCTTGTATTTGTCTACTGGTTAGTTCTTTCTGCGCTAAATGCTAGCAGCCAGTCAACCTTGAATCAGCGAACCCACATTAGTCGCAACGCGTATATACCTGTCGTAGTCGAGCACAGTGTTGAGCCTGTGCGCGATGGTGATGATGGTGCAGTCGGCGAACTCCCGGCGTATGGTGGCCTGGATGAGGTCGTCCGTCTCCATGTCCACGGCAGCCGTGGCCTCGTCCAGGATAAGGATGCGAGACTTGCGAAGGAGGGCTCGCGCCAGGCACACAAGCTGGCGCTGACCGACACTGAAAGGTTCATCAAGAAGTTGCACGAGTTAAGTCTCTTTCGCGCGTGACAGAAAAAATGAAAAAAAAGAACCCACTGTGCCACTGGCAACTAGCATCTTTCGTAAAAAAGAAAGGCTAATTGGAGTGAGTCTATAGCAACACGACATGTGAGATAGCACGGCCCTTCTGCGCTCTTCTTTTAGAATGCTCCTGAATACGAGTGATGGCAGGCTGATGCACGTGTTTGCGTTTATCACGTAATTTACCGAAAATATGCCCTGTCGGATGTTCACAACGCTTTGAATACGGCTTTGTCTTAACAAAAAGCAGCTGGCAAAAGCTATTTCAGTCACGCTGTGTTAGGTGTAAATTAACGGTTTGTTCAAATTGTGTATTCAATTATTTGTGATATTGTAGATGCTGGTCATCTATTGAGCAGAACATATACGAGGTCGAAGACCCAGAATGCTTTTTTATGGTCAACCTTTAATCACTGATATCAAAGACAAGACTTCCTATCATGGGCTGCTTGTTAGCGTATTTTGTATTGCGTCAAAGTGTTTTATTACAATGACGTTCACATTTGAAAGCCCGCAAGTAGTCAAATCAAAGCACGCTGTTGCGCGCGTTAGTCGGTTTTGTACTGCAGTGCTTTCGACAGTACTTCGAACACCAAACCCATGGCTCACCAAGGACAACAGCCCTTCCTTGTGTGTGGCCGTGAAAAGTGCTGACGCTGTAGAAATCGAATCCTCACAGAGTTGTGGCTGCTTATTTCACTACGGTCCGCGCCTGTTTAAGTGGAAGCATGGTTGAGAGTATTGCGGTATTCTAGCACACGAGCGTGGCCACGCGGTTTGATTTTATATTTCGTGGGCTTTCTTTAAATTGTGCAAAATATCGTCGCACAGCGTGTGTACACTGCTGTCAAAATTATATCAGTCGTATTAGGATGTAATCTACACGAAACTAATGCACACTCAGCCCCAATGCCGATGCAGTGAAGGCCCGCGGGGTATGTGTGATCACGGCTCGTATGAATTTCACTTTGATAAGAACATGTGAGTCAAGATAACATCATGGCACCTATTTCGGGAGGTGTTGCAGACGAAGTTACCACTGAAGTAAAGGATCTAACAGGGCTAATTAGAACATACAGCACTTGTGTCCATTTTTTTGCACTGCTCACGAAGAGTGCCCCTGCACTGCCTGCTAGAAAAGTGCTGCTGGGCGGTATTGCAACTTTCGGCAATTAATGAGCGAGAGAAGTGAACCTGATGTTTTCGCCGCCTTCGGTAATGATGTGCTCAAGCCCCTTCTCAAGGCCAGCCACGTATTCTTTGAGGTGAGAGTGTTCCAGGGCTCGCCACAGCTCGTCGTCCTTCATGCTGTCGAAGGGGTCCAAGTTCGAGCGAAGGGTGCCACTGAACAGCACGGGGTCCTGAAATCACGAATCAAAATCCGCAATTTTAAATAGCATACCACTCCTTGAGTAATCGTAGTTTGTGAAGCTTTACCTTCAGATAGTAAGGTATTGTTAAGAGGGAAGTGTAACATTTTGATTGTGACAGTGTGAGAGCAGCGATGGCGTAGTGGTTAGAGCATCCGCCTCGCATGCAAAAGGTCCGTGGTTCAAATCCCAGTGCCGCGCAGTTCCCAACCGGATAAAAAAAAATCCGCGTGGTGATGGAACTGCATTACGAGGCCTGAGGTGCGGCCTCACCGGTAACCACCGCCGGGAACGCACTCCCTCACCAGAGAAGGATTGGCCACCCTGGTGCAGTATCTGGCCACTACCTCCCACATAAATACGTCAAATAACTCACGGCCCTCAGTCCCCAGCAGCTGCGAAGCAACTGACGGTCGGATCTGCAACGGCGGCGGTCAGATCTGCAACGCAGCAGAGGGTGCTAAGAATCTCTGGATCCGGACAGGCCGCCATTGGAACCTGAACTTGGCAACGTTTAACGCTAGAACCTTATCTAGTGAGGGAAGTATAGCTGTACTATTCGAGGAGCTAAAGGGTGTTAAATGGGATATAATAGAGCTTAGTGAGGTTATGAGGACAGATCAGGCCTATACGGTGCTACAGAACGGGCATGTCCTTTGCTATCGGGGCTGGAGACCAGGCAGTAGGAGATTATGGCATCGGTACTAAAAACGCCAGAGGAGAGCTACTAGTAGAATTCGCAGAACGCAATAATTTACGAATTTTAAATACCTTCTACCGAAAACGAGGAAACCACAAGTGGACATGGAGGAGCCCTAATGGCAAAAATAAGAACGAAATAGACTTTATAATGAGTGCACACCCAGGCATCGTGCAGGATGTGGAAGTGGTTGGCAAGGTACGATGCAGTGACCATAGAATGGTACCGTCTCGAATTCGCCTAGACTTGAAGAAGGAACGACAGAAACTGATACGCAAGAAGCCAATCAATGAGCTAGCGCTGAGAGGGAAAGTAGAGGAATTCAGAGTCTCGCTTCAGAACAGGTACTCGGCTCTTAGTGAGGAAACCAACCTTAGCATAGATACAATGAATGATAATCTGACGAGTATCATTACGGAGTGTGCAGTGGAAGTTGGAGGCAGGGTAGTTAGACAGGACACTGGCAAGCTTTCCCAGGAAACGAAGAATCTCATTAAGAAGAGTCAAATCATGAAAGTCTCAAGTACAACAGACAAAATAGAACTGGCAGAGCTTTCGAAGTTGGTAAACAGGCGTAAGGTATCCGATGTAAGAAGGTATAACATGGAGAGAATTGAACACGCTCTGAAACACTGAGGAAGTGTCAAAGCAGTGAAGAGGAAACTTGGGATAGGCAAAAATCGGATGTATGCACTAAGGGACAAAGAAGGCAAAATAACTACCAATATGGATAGGATAGTTAAAATAGCGGAGGAGTTTTACAGAGATCGGTACAGTAGCCGAAACAACCACGACCTTAATACTATAAGAACTAGCAGTAACCCAGATGACACCCCACCAGTAATGATGGAAGAAGTCAGAAAAGCTTTGGAGAGCATGCAAAGAGGCAAAGATGCTGGTGAGGATCAGGTAACATCAGATCTGCTGAAAGATGGAGGACAGATTGTGTTAGAAAAACTAGCCACTTTGTTTACGAAGTGTCTCCTGACGGGAAGAGTACCAGAGTCTTGGAAGAACGCTAACATCATCTTAATACATAAGAAAGGAGATGACAAGGACTTGAAGAATTACAGGCCGATCAGCTTGCTCTCTGTAGTATACAAGCTATTTACAAAGGCAATTGCTAACAGAGTAAAGAAAACATTAGAATTCAATCAACCAAAGGAACAAGCAGGATTTCGAACAGGCTACTCAACAATTGACCAAATTCATACTATCAATCAGGTAATAGAGAAATGCTCAGAGCATAACCAACCACTATACATAGCCTTCATAGATTACGAGAAGGCGTTTGATTCAGTAGAAATATCAGCCGTCATGCAGACACTGCGAAATCAGGGCGTCGATAAAGCATATATAAACATCCTGGAAGAAATCTACAGGGGATCAACTGCTACCATAGTGCTTCATAAAGAAAGCAACAGAATACCAATCAAGAAGGGTGTAAGGCAGGGAGGCACAATCTCCCCAATGCTATTTACCGCGTGCTTACAGGAGGTTTTCAGAAGCCTAGAATGGGAACAGTTAGGGATAAGAGTTAATGGAGAGTACCTTAATAACCTGTGCTTCGCCGATGACATTGCATTGCTGAGTACCTCAGGGGACGAATTGCAACTCAAGATTACGGAGTTAGACAAGGAGAGCAGAAAGGTGGGTCTTAAAATGAATCTGCAGAAAACGAAAGTAATGCACAACAACCTCCGAAAGAAGCAGCGCTTCGAGATAGGTAATAGTGCACTTGAAGTTGTAAAAGACTATGTCTATTTAGGGCAGGTAATAACCACGGAGCCTAACCACGAGACTGAAGTAACTAGAAGAATAAGAATTGGGTGGAGCACATTTGGCAAGTACTCTCAAATTATGACAGGTAGATTACCACTATCCCTCAAGAGGTATATAACAGCTGTATCTTGCTGGTAGTGAGCTACGGAGCAGAAACCTGGAGACTTACAAAGAGGGTTCAGCTTAAATTGAGGACGACGCAGCGAGCAATCGAAAGAAAAATGGTAGGTGTAACCTTAAGAGACAAGAGAGCAGTGTGGATTAGGGAACAAACGGGCGTTAAGGATATCATAGCTGAAATCAAGAAAAAATGGACATGGGCCGGGCATGTAGCGCGTCGACAGGATAACCGCTGGTCGTTAAGGGTAACTGACTGGATTCCCAGAGAAGGCAAACGAGTTAGGGGGAGACAGAAGGTTAGGTGGGCAGATGAGATTAAGAAGTTTGCGGGTATAAATTGGCAGCAGCAGGCACAGGACCGGGTTAACTGGCGGAACATGGGAGAGGCCTTTGTCCTGCAGTGGACGTAGTCAGGCTGATGATAATGATGATGATGATGATGAAGTAGGTCGTAGTTGAGTGTGCCAAGAAGTTTACACCACCCGGTATTCTTTTACATGCGCCGACATCGCGCAGTAAACGAGTTTTCATCGTTTCACCTCCATCAAAGAAGCACAATCGCAGCCAGGTTGAGCCTTTGGACCAGAATCAGATCACCGTGAACAATTGCAGTGCCCAAACACACATTGAACGCATCCAAAGAGCAAAATTTGCGGAAGGATGGTGCAACTGGAGGCTGCACTACTGGATTACTAAGTATTATGATCAGCGTTCACTATATAAAAACAGCCGTGGTTACTTTTTGTCATTTACCCACAGGGTAAATGGCATTGAAGAGGAGAGTAAATATATAAATTAAATAGACAAAATGACAGTGCAGTCAACTCAGTTAAGAAGAAATTCCCTAGTTATACAAAAGTAGTTATTTCCAGTAAACAATAAAACAAATAAGAGCAATAAATACGGGGAGCTAATTTTTCTGGCTGTACAATGTTAAGCGATGTTCCATGAAAACATTTGCAGTCAGTGATGGTTGTGACACTTGAGAGAAGGTGGTTTCAAGCCTGAGATGTACGAGGAATAAGCGACTGAAAAAAAAGACAGTATACATGATGCGATTCCTGCCTTATTACGATGTTGAACAAGGTTTGAAATGTACACAGGCCAAAGTATGAGAGAGAGCCGCAATACATAAAGGCAGACCTAGGACGGGAGTGTCTTTTTAACCACCACCATAAAGAGAGATTGTAACATTTTTATATGATTTACTGTAATAAAACTGAAAATAACAGAGAAATTTACCTACACAAACCTCATTAAATTTCGAGCGTTTATCTCATAGTTTCAAAATCCTGGAATACTCAGCTAAAACTAACACGCACGTCAATGAATTTTTTTCTAAAACAATTTTGCGATAGAATAGAATAACCGAAGTGTCGGTACATAGTGGCAATAAACACATTGTAATAAATGCTGTAAACTCGTACTGTAAGCTGAACTATGATGTATTTATATGGGAACGCATTTTTATCATGGCCATGAAGCAAGATGTATTTCAGTTAGTTATGTAGGAACAAAGCTGTATTTGTGTGCGAACGCAACTAATTTATTTATAGATGTAACCACCCTAATATAATGCCTTTGGCGCTGCGGTATTTTTGATGAAGAATAGAGAATTAATAAGTGTTGGATGGTAGAAATTTTTATGCGAAGGACGGCAGATGTTTCATTGGTGATCCAGTGGAATAAGTGATAAGCTATTTTTCATGGAGGATATACCAGCAGGGTCGTAGTTAAGCGAGGATGAATCTAGCATATTTATTTCGTACTAGTCGAAAAAAGGTGACCAGGTTAAAATCAGTGAGATTCCGTATGGGAGATGCATACTTAAGTTTAAAGCCTACAAGACACTTATAAATTGATAGTTTCAAGAAAGAGGGTGCTTCAAAAAAGGTACACCATAAGTGCCGAGCATGCAATAAGCGTTCTTAATGAAGTACTCTACGTGAGTTGTTAAACTTAATTTATATTTCATGTTATTTATTAACTTAAGTTATTTATGATGTTTTTTGCAGCAGTGGATAGGGCAGCATGGACCCATTGTTTGGCTAGCACGGTCCTAAGACTTAAACAACGTTAGTTTTTTTTTCTTTCGAGGAGTCAAGAAATATGAATACCAGGCACCAAGCACACCCTCAGCTGATATAAAAGCAAAAATAAGACAAGTTTGCAAGTTTATTTCCAAAACCATGGTGAAAACTTCACAGAGGACTTGATAAAGAGATACCAGATTTGTAAAGCAGCAGATGGGGATTTGCTTGAACACATTTTCTAATCGTGCCCTAGTTTTACTGGTACACATCACTGAAACAAATTCCCAGCCACGCATTGAACGATGATGAGTAGGGCGAAGCGTCTGTCCGTTGGTCTGTCTGTGACGGACCGACGG